ATATCCGACCTACCTATCATTCGTTTGGTCGATCCCAAACGAGGCATCATCCATCAGAATTTTTCTCATATTGCAATGAAGATACTACCGATCGATTTCTCGGAAAAGTCGGATGATGTTGATCAAGACACTTGGCATGACGATGTATTCCAGCGTAGAAGAAAGTCTTCTGAAACGGCGACGATTCCGAAGCATCCAGAAGATAGCAGGGCACAGAAGGCGAGCGGAATGGTGGGCTTTCTCGCTATTTGGACACCTTTCTGGACACATTGTAAATATATCCACCGCTAGTTTTATCGCGGATTCCGAGTATTGATTGGATGTCAGGAATCTTTTCGAAGATGTTGAGGAAGCATCCCTTCGAGGAAATACCTTCTTTCGCTCCGAACGCATTGCAACGAGTGAACAGAGCGCGGAAACGCTCGTTATGCGACAAGTCCTGAAGTGCGTGAGAGGACAAGATTCTTGAACAGCGACTGATCACGCGCTGATCGGGACCTCGTAGGAATTATTCCTGATCAATGGCTCATCGACCCCACAATCGTGAACGGAATTTACAGGACACGTCGGAGATGGTGTCTCATTGGATCCCCGTGAAGGTCGACGTCGTGCTGTCTCTTCATCATATCAATTGAAACCTGGATAAGCGTTCATCAGAGGAAGAGTGACTTCCTCCTTGGGGGTCTACCCGCCTCGCCTCGGCGCGTCTGTCTGTACAGTGAACGCCCGGAGTGAACCGCTGCTCCCCCGAACATGTTCGCTGTTGATATCGCTGGAATGGGTAGTACCGTTCACGCAGAGATCCCTATAATAGACGAATCTAGAGCAGGACCGCGATTCTATGAGTAGATTGGGTGGACGATATATATAATATTCGAGTGTTCATGGCCTGATATACCTTAGGCCATGTTCATTCGAATAAACATCCCTCGGCTACATTTTCTGGAGATTATCCTTGCTCATTTCCGGGAGGGGATCTCTCAGACGGATGGCTTGGTCAGATCACACGAACCAGATCCGGACAGAATTCGATTCACAGGAATACTTTGGTCTGGCTTTGGGAGGCTCAGGCCTCCCCGCCCCCCATTCTAAAATCGTCCGATGAAATAGTAGCTCCGACTCCGACGATGCGGCGTAAGATCGCTCCCCTCAGAGTCGCGAACAAAATCCGAGCCGCTCTAGCGAAGTACTTGTTATGACTAAATGCTTCCAGCGTGGTATGTATAGACCGATTGTCCTTTCGAAGACCATATGGAACCCCAGGTGACGATTTCCGGGCCTCCAGGGAATCTCTGAAGCGGAGTCCAGAGGGCAGGGGAGTAAACAGACCTTCTCCTCGATGAAGCTGAAAACTCCAATCCCTTCCTTTCTCACGGGTTCGTTCTGGGAAATATAATCATGAAATTTTCTACTTCGGCCTAGAATGTTGATCCCCCGAAGCGAGTTGGAATGTTTCGGAAAGACATGGATTCGCGCATGAACTAATACTCTGGAAGAAGTAATTTCCACAGCGTGGAATTCATATTTCCGCGGAACTTGAGATCAACTCCCGCGAAACCGATTCAAGCGCCTACCCCGAGTTAGACAACTTAGACAACTTCCAATATGTAGCTACTATTGCGAGCCGTGCCGGGTGTGGAGTGCTCGCGGATCTTCAAAAATGATGAGGATTTTTGGTGCCGAAGAACGCGCGCGCTGCTGGGCAATACCTGGAGCCGGAGCTTGGCCCGATCGTTATGGAGAGCTGAGCTCATTCATACAAAGGTCCAGAAATTCCGCTCCTCGATATACGACATACTGCCGGAGTGACATTGTGTGCGTCATTAGGACCATTACCGACCCAATCCAAGGAAATCGCCAGAGGTGCGAATGCTATCACAGTAGCAGAATATTTCCATGCAGTGTCCGACTGTTGAGTAATCGACAAAACTCCGAGCCCCGTTATCAATCCTCAAATGGGGATGAGCGAACTCCCGTGTTTTCCCCATGCACTTGTTCGTCCGACGCACAAACATCGGACAGCTGTAAACTTATCGATTCTGACTAAAGCAGAGTGAATCCCTCCCCGGAAAACTTGATTCAGCGGGATACGGAGGTTGGGTGACCCCGTGTCTCCGAGCCCTGAATTTCACGTCACGGTCGGGTGTGGAGCCCGACGAGACCCGGTGCTGACTTCCACTCCGAGCGACAGGCTCAAGATTCCTTCGGTTCGACTCGCAATTGTCAGCTGAAGCTCCATTCCGTCGAAAGGGGGGAAGAGCAATCCTTCATGACTTGCCGCTCGAACACGCTCAAGATCGCCGCCGGCATCAAGTCACGCCCATATACGCGAGCCGTGCCCTCTGAATGGGGAGGCTCAGCTTTGTGAGCATTCAGCCTGGATGGTCTAAAGAGCATTCCGCCCCATGGGCTTGTCTGTTATGAGCAATCATGTGCTCCCGTGGTTGCCTTCTCGAATGATGCTTGCTGGACCTCTGAGCGCTAACTTGCAGGCCCTAGCTCGTCTGGACCATGACTAGAGGTATCATCACTCATGTTCCTCGATCGACCACACGGGTATTCAAACCCTCTCCGTTTGAGCTCCGCTGTCCTGCACTGGCTCTCCATCCCACACGAGTCTCGACCTACGGACCTTCTCCGCATTTTGATTTGCCTTCTCGCATCAAGAGGTGTGATCGTGACGAGCCCCCGAAGTAATTCTAGGGGTTCCTCCCTCGGCGTTCCGAGGATTCCGCCGATGTGGAGGATCTTCACGGATCGCGAATTTTCCGTTCCTATCCGCGAGATTGTCTTCTTCTCTCAGACGATTCTCTGGTGCTCTGAAGACTCGTCCCGACCTGACGAGGAAAGCCGGAGAGCGCGTCCTTCATGCTTCGCATTGTGATCCGATGATTCTCAATGAAAGAAAGTTGCTCGCCATGCTCTTTATGTTAAAGTATATGTACATATCTCTGACGCGCTTCCATCATCTCCTGACGTGGAGCCCAGCTTCGGAAATCGCGAGTAGGTGCTTCATTGCCGGGGAACGAATGACACTTTCTCAGCTCTGCGCCTCGGTTCAAATAGGAACCGATGCGCTTCTTCTTCAATTCGGCGGGCGAGGGAGAACGGTCCCAAGGTCGAGGGGTTGGTTGGCAGCGTGGACGGCTCACCCATGCTGGACATGTATTCCCTGTGCTGTTCTCCTCATCAGTCCTGTAATCATCTCAAGTACCTTGTTCCGGTGGAGCTTCAAACGGGATCACAACAGTCCCCAACAATATTTTGATGGTCTCTGATAACCTGATAAGGCTCTTTATATTCCTAAGAAAATCCAGAAGCTCCAGTACAGGTCGCACCGTAGTTGACTTCTTCATCCACATGCCTTTCCCACAGATCCGATCGGTGCACATTTTGAGAAGCAGATATTCTGTAGACTGAGGAAAAGGCCGACGACAAACCGCGCACATCTCCATTGGAGCGGGGTTTCTGATCGGATATTACTAGGGCTCGACTTTCGTCGCGGTCCGTGACCGTGATTTTTCGTTGCCTGGTAAGCATTTCCCCTTAGAAAGTCCATGGGAGCCTGAAAATGCCGCGAGTTCCCGGCTAAAAAGCCGCGACGAGAGTCGAGCCCGGTCGGGGCGCGGGGATCATTCGTTTCGGACTGAAGGCGATGGGAGAAGTACGGATGTAAGGACTAGGAGGGGTTCGAGGAGGGGAATCTCTCAAAGTCTTCCCTGCGACCGTTTTGGAGTACCCTCGATAATGCAGGCTTCGACCGCGACGCTGGATTGAGTTGATGCGATGAGTTCCACTTCGTTTAAGGTTGGAATTCGAAGGAGCCGACCGATGATTTCCCGGGCCGACGGCAGGTTCACCAAATTTGACTCGACAGCTCAATGCTCTGGGATGCGGGTCTCAGATGGCGAAAAACGCTGCTGCGAGAGGTCATGATATTTGTTAGGAAGCAAATGATTGATGACTATGTAGTTCTCGGACCGAGACAATATGGGAGATGAATATCTATGCTGTGCTCGAATTCTACGTCTCCTTCCCTTCTTTTGAGGTCCCCGTGTGTCCGGGAATGCTGTGGAGATTCGCTTAAGAAATCTTGAAGACAACAGAGAGCGAGTGCGTCTACCGGGTAAAATTGTGCTTCATCTGAATGTCGCTCGATATACATTGATATATCAATCCCATCAGATCTGGCGGCAATGATTTTATTGGAGCTACAGTCGTATCAAACAAACTCAGCCCGATGGTGTGTTCCAGAGTCTCGCCTAATCGTCGCCATTTTGAATTTCAGCTCGACTGAATTTCGGAATGATAACAGAAGAAAAAGAGTCGTTGCGTGCCTTTCGAGCGTAAGTCTTTCTGCAGAGCGAGAGACAATCTGGGGAGAAGCTTTTGACCTCGGCGGAAGCAGGAATCCGTTCGCGTATCTCACGCGAGTGTGTTCACTTGTAGTCTTCGCAGACTTCCCTGCAGTTCCGATACCTTCTATCTCCCGCTAATGTGAGACTGGTGAAGTTCTTGGGCGATCATCTCATTACTATTTGGCTGAGAATGGTCCCGCCCGCTCGCCGGTCTACCAGTTCGTTCGCTAGTGACGTCATGCGCCGTCTCGGCCAATGATTCTTGAGCAAGCTCCTCCTACGGACCGCGGACAGCACCGAGCATCGCGGCAGGAGCGGCGGCAGCAGCAGTGGCGAGAAGATTCTTTCTCTACTAGCAGGCGGGAAGCCAGGCAGCCAGCATCGAGTCGTACGAATCGCAGCCGCTTCCATTACAGCCTGCCACACAACGCAGGTCCTTGTTTGTCGAGAAGTAGTGTGCGTTTCGCTGCAGCTGCCATCGCTATCTGCCTCTTCTATCTGGTTTTCAAGATTCTCGACAGTCTCGAGAGTGGCGGAGCGCAAAAGCGCGAAAATCAGTTCCCTCGAGTCAGAATTTGATTTTTACCCTTTGTGCGGTCGCTCGACTCCCAACTGTGACTTCATCAAGCTCCTCATTGGATTATGGAAATTGTCGGTGAAACATCGTCTACTGCCGATGTCGAAGAAGCTGTCGTGAAGGTTTTGCAAGGTTTTGACTGGGCCCTCGTGCCCCCTGTGGTGCCAAGACGGCCTTCTTTAGCAGCGCAGAAGAGAAGGTTGCACATCAAGAGACCAATGAATGCCTTCATGGTGTGGGCTCAAGCTGCTCGCCGGAAGTTGTCGGATCACCACAAAAACCTCCACAACGCCGAGCTCTCCAAGACTCTCGGGAAGCTTTGGAAGTGAGTATGAACGAATCGTCGGAATGACGCTAGAGCTCAGAACGATTCTCTGTGTCCTTCAAAAGACTCATCTTGGCATTTCTGTTGCACAAAAAAACGCAACCAGCGGCTTCCGCCACCGGGGGCATTAAACCTCAGCGAGTATCTCATTCAGACAGCAGTCGACAAGTCTCACATATTCTGAATTCTCACTCATCCCTGCAGGAAATTAAGCGACGAAGAGAAACGACCCTTCATCGAAGAGGCCGATCGACTTCGGAATCTCCATAAGAAAGAATACCCAGATTATAAGTATCAACCGCGGAGGAAACCGAAACCTGACAGCGAGAAACCTTCCAGCAGCAGTGGGAGCATCGCGGCGGCTCAGAAGACGAGGAACAAGATCAGTTTTGAGCTCGGCCCAGCATTAGAGAAATCATACTCGACTCCAGGAACGACTATAGCTGATTGTGGAGACAAAAGACATACTCAAGGTGAGTGTCGAGTTTCGAGATTTGAGGGTCGTCCCGGGGACCGATGGAAGACTCGGGACGATCGACAAGAGGTCCAGATTTTGTACATGATTGCCAAGCTGTTGCGACTCTCACTCCGAGGCGACTAGTATTTTCGAATCGCCGCGGAGGGAGCAGTGCGCCAATGGTGAGCTCGTGACTCTTCCGGGAACGTTTCGAGAGAGACGCCTGCTGAGACAGCTCCCGAAGCCCGCAATATCAGGGCCTTCTCCGTATGTACAATGAACTCCCCGTGGATCGGAATTCCTATGGATAGGATCAGCGGCGTAGACAGCCGAAGTGCTGTCCCGGCTGATGGTCTGGAAAGTCCCGCTTTCGCAAGCGTGGTCGCCGATTTGCCTCTCCGGAATTAAAAGGCCATTCACGCTGAGGTAGAAACTCGGAACACCTTCTGGCCTACATTATTTAAGCTCGGCCAAAAGTCAGAAACCTCATCCCCTATCTTCCTGATCCAATGAAGACAACACAATAGATATATCAGCATCTCTTCCCACGCTCTCCCAGTGGCTGGCTCCTGCTGGAGGCAAAGTGTCCGGAGCCCTATACACATGTTCCTCATCCATTTATTTGTTTGAGAATCCATGAGCAGTTCCCGAGCTCAATGCGTCCCATGGTGTCGAACGACCCCTCTGGCCCAGTGGGACGAGCTCACACGATCCTCGTTCCCGCTGATGTTGATACAAATCATATATCAATTATCAATGATGTTTGAGGAGGATTTGGCTTGCACCATCGGCCCCTCGAGGGCCCCTCGGATGGGACGCTCTCAGATGGGATTTCCCGGGAGCCTCTCGCCACCTGTTCTCAAGAGGGACTCCTTTTCGGCTCGAATTTCCGGGAAGGGCCTGTCGCCGGAAGGACCGCTCATTGGAGAGCTCCCATCGGGACATTCGAAGTATCGCAACTCATCCCGAAGACCTCTCCATTGGATCACAGAGGCGTAGCGTGGAACACTGCGGTGATTCGGAGTTTTCCGTTGGTCGACGAGAAATACCGCGCCTCGCCGATATCTTCCGCGGAGAAATTCATTTTCTCCTGAAGGCAGAATCCCGAAATGCTCCCCTCTTGGAAGCCCCAGGGAAAGTGCCACCCGGGGCGGCACCGCCGCTCCTTCCCCCTCCGACTCAGCTACGCTCCTGCCAATGGCATCGGGGAAGGAATCTGTGGAGATGAATTGGAAGTTCTTCGGCAGATACACGCTGTGGAATATAAGTTCAGCCTTGGCGGCATTTCGCTATTTCGATTTGAACCAGAACGTGTTCTCTTTTTCCAGATGGAGTCCCTTACCCGAGCCCTTACTCGCTTCCCCCTGCTGCTCCCCAGCTGAGCACCCAAACTTCCCCGAGTTCGTCATCGATATCATCAAACTTCATTGGCTCCCACAGTTCACTGAGAGATGGTATCGCGAACGACTGTCCCGTCGAAAGAACAGATTCTTATGATTCTTTCCAAGTTCAGAGAACGCAGCAGCCTCTCCCAAGGTATCTATCACGAAATTAGATGAACAAGACTTCAAAGCTCCCCTCAATAAGGGAACACCTCTTAGCCTCACATCCTCCGTGCCTGACTCCATTGTACTTTGTTTCACAGGTACGGAGCAGATTCCCATTTGAATGGGCTAGCTCAACAGCCTCTGAATCAAATATTCTATCCAGGCTCATGTCAGCCCTACTATTACCGTCAGGAATATTACACAGCACCTCTGGCGCATCATCCATCATCATTGAGTCCACCGACTCCTGACTTCAACTACAATCAACATCCTGGTTCAATGTGAAACTAGCGGACTCCTCGAGATCCGTCTATGAGTCCAGAATGATCCACTATTTATTGCGAGGCCCTCGACCTTCAACGTCGAGATCAGGTCTACAACAAGCTTGATACTTTGTACATAATAAGGTTGTCTGCCCTGTAATTATTTTCCCCAAGTGTATGCAAGAATCGGGATGTTCTCAATCGCATCTCGCATCCTTCGCTTGAACGATTCTGGGGATGCCGGAATCCTAAATAGATAGGAATGCCTCCGCTCCAGTAGCTCGCGACGCTTCCGATCGAAACTTCCCGTCCTCATGACCCCGCTCGGCGAGAACGCCTGCCTCGTCGACACACATCGGAATCTCTATTCCGTCGGCTTCCCTTCACCGACGCTTTGATATGATGCCGTCTGCTTGCGGCTCCATTCGTTGTCTCGGGACTGCTGTGTAAAGCTCAATGGAGGAGAGCTTCTCGGGGAAAGTTTGAGAAGATGGTACAGGAACATTCATTTGCCCGACATTGTCGAAGCCGAAAGAGCAGGATCTTCTTGTTCAGTGATCCCGAGGGCTCGGACGCTCAGACCTGACCTCTCTGCGGTCTGCAAAGAGCCTCCGTGTCCTGTGGTGCCTACCTCGATGTTGCCAGCTGCATCCGGAAAGGAAACTCTCTGCACGAGTCGATTCGGCATCGATGAGCGGTCTGTTCAGACCGCTCTTACCTTTCGGCTCTCGATCGACGGCGCTGGTCCTCTCCTTGAACTTGGAGTGTTTGCGTATCCTCGAGACGGAATACAGTCTCCTCATAGATCGCTTCCATGGTCCTCAGGAAATTTACGACTATCATTGTCTACATACCCACATGCATGATCAATGATCACCCATTCTCTGAACTCTGATAGAAATCTGCTGCCTCCCGATCCCCCAGGGCTCCGACCCTGACATCCCACAGCATTGATTAGTTTCGGCAAGATGTCCTTTTCCATGAGCCTGGATTCGGAGATCGACAGAGATGGAAACTGCCTACTCTCACAGTGCCTCACGGCGGCATGGTCTGAGGAATTGGAAAATGCTCTCAGCGGAAAAGCATCAGAGCTAAAAGCATGACTTAACGATGGAACTCGCTCTCGTGTCTCCGGATGAGTCCGGGAAGATCTCGTGCTTCTGACCAAAGAGTAGCGACCCCTCGTGACAAGCCGTTATCATCACATCATTTCCGGGGCTTGAGACTTGAGGTTGAGACTGGAACAGGGGTTCCTTCGAAGGATCAGCGAATCTAGGAAACAACGTCTCGAGCGGGAAGCCTCCACTAAAATCATTGCTAGGTCCAACCGTCTTCGATTCTTCCTGCCGCGATAATTCTTCGGTGATGGTAAGAGGGTTCGCCCCGACACATTGGTAGGGCCGCGAGGACGATGTCCGAAGGATGTCTTGGAGGGATACCACTGGGAATGTTTCCCGAAGGAAAGCTGCGATTACTCGCGGAGTGCGACGGAGTCCTGGGCTGCCGCGTCGGAGGGTTCAGCGGGCGGAATAAATTGAATGGCGCCGCTCCAGAGTCAGCTTTGGTGGGGCATTTGATAGATCTGTCGCAGCAGTCTCGGATTCCACCACGTACCGCTGAAAGCCCGGGAGCCCCGGAACGACCGCGAGCAACTCCGCGTTCAGTCCATATTATCCGCCCGTTACTCCCCCTCAAGGATGGCCGATTAAGCCTAATATTTCGGAGAATCATAGCTCATAGGTTGGTCATGCGGCTGGAATCGAAACTTGTTTTTGGATGATTCTTCCTCTCCGGACGCTTTATTATTCCGGGCGAATTTGCAATCTTTTTGGGAGATTAGGAGTAGTGCTGAGAAAACGTCAATCTGCGAGGTATCCACATGCCTAGCCGTGACCGCGATTCATCCTACTCCCCGGTGTGAAGGGGGGGAATATCTGTCTGGATGGAATCAGGATTCAGGGGTCGGTACGTACGTCGCTGACGCCCTTCGGTATGAGCAAGAGCTGAAACTACATAGAACCTTGGGGACCGCCGCGCGGGGTCGGATGGCGAGGCAATCTCGGATGTCCCAGATCGGGGCCGCTCAGAGGCCTCGTTTCTTGAAACATGAACATGATCCGTAGTCCGAAGAAATACATAAGGGAGCTTGTTGGCGCGGGTTTATTCTCTTCCTCCGATGCCGTCCTCAATAGTGCTGCAGGAATAATACAGGAACACCTGGGAACCCGCAAGGATATAGCAGTTTCGTCCCGAAATGACCGCTGCGAGTATCGAGTCATCCGGCACGTTCCGCTGGATCATCCGGTGATTGCTCCACAAATATTCCATATGATCAACCGGGGCTCCGTGACCATATCACAATGAGTCTAGGGACTGGGCACGACTCTGCTGATTCGTTTAGACTTCCGCGATACGATGAACCTCTGCATTCTCACGACGACACTTGTCTCGACCATAGTATATATGGAGAAGAGGGATATACCGAGCCACATCCCTATATACCCCCCGATGTAACCGAAGGCTTCGATTGCCTGTGGAATGAAAATTGTTTTCTGAGCTTTCGACATTGCTATCGATCTTACTTCAAATTCTTACCCCTCATCCTCTCCCTCAAGATTGAAGCAATGCTCTTACCCTGCGACTCGGGGATGCGAGCCAAACTTTGAATCGGCCCAATGTTTGGGTTGCCTAAGAGTCGAAACTTCGAACACCGAAGTTCCACATACTTCTACTCCAAAATAATCAAGTCATGGGAATCCGAAGCGGACCTATGCACAGCTATCACACATCCGTCATCTCCCTCTTCCGCCGGATTATATCTCGCCTCCTTACCCCCGTGCGCACTCCCGGGCCGAGTCTCTTGATTTGAGAAATTCATCCGTACTTGGCGTTGTGGGAGAAAGCGGGTCGTCTTGCAGACCCCTTTGATACTCGCATTGCATGAATTAGCATGATGTTGCCGAGGCTTTTTGCTTTTTATGCATGCTCTTTGATGGTCTCGGCGGAAGGCTTCGATTATCGGATTAACTTAACACGAGTCGGCAAATCGGGGTCCCAGGGCAGCCAGGGGTCCGCGAAATCAGCAGGGGGTGAGCGGACCCCCGTGGACCCCCTCCCATAGGACTCCGTAGCCCCCCCCCTCCATGGGCACATTATGACGAACTCAGGGGGTCCGCGTGGAAAACATTGGAGTTCCGGGGGTCCGCGGACTAAGAAAGATTGCCGAACTCATTGTGATCGATTCGACTTCCGAGCGATCACAGATTGGAAAGGAGGGCCGGGGACTCATGCAATGATCAGCTCGTGATTTCCATCGCGGAAGCACGATTTCCTCGCCCACACTTGGAGAACTCACCGATAGCGTCTTCGAGTATTCATAAACAGTCTGGGAATCTGACCCGAAAGATATGGCGACGGAAAAGGACGAGAAGTTCTCCGGGGTTTCAGCTTCATCTTCATGCAGACCGACCAGCTTCACGTCATACGTCAGTTCACTTGCAATAATGGAAGGCGCATCAGAGCTCCATATCCGAGGCTGATACTTCCGAGGTTTCGGTATATCACAATATAGGTGCAGTACATATAAGACTCAATTGAAGTCGCGCAGTGCAGCCGGTGCAGGACTCCTATGATGCGCCCTTGCCCTCGATGTCGCCTAAACTTACTAGCATGGTTGACCGCACGCTTTCTTACAAGGACCGACGACGTCGATCCTGGTCATACGATTCGCGCAAGAGTCTGCAATCGAGATGAGGAGTCTTTGAGATAACTTTTGGAGACTGCACTAAATACCTCGGGGTATTCGTGCACCCGAATTCCATCGGGTATCTCGAGCCATGAGGCTGTTCGGAGGTGCCACTACGGTATCGAGGGATGCGAGGGTCGAGTACTCCCTAAAGTCTCTAGTTCGATCTACGCTCAACTGAACAACCTTTTTGGCGCTTAGTACATCTTTCCCGAAAGTAGGCGTACTCTGCGAACTCGTAATCGGGACGGACACATCCACAAAGCTTGTACTCCTCTCGCATGACGCATTCTTGAACGCAGACCTGAGGGATTGAAGATTCTCTAGAGTGGAATACTCTGGAATTCCACTAAGAATGGCGGCGCCGGCGATCAAGGAGGGTCGTCAGCAGAATTTCTTCGACTCGGAATTCAGATCGATGGCCAGACCTCATAATTTTTGAAGCCATGGAATTCATCGAAGTAGCCTTTGCGAATATAATCCACGCATCTCGAGGCGACTGGAGGTGGGAGTCTCTTGAATGATTTCTGCAAAGACATGGATGGTCCCAGAATTTATCAGTTAGAGCGTGCCCCCGAGAATTTGTGCCCGGATCGAAGTCCTACCTGCCCGATTGAGATTGAGTAGTGGAGACCTTGTCGCAAATAAATCGGCGAGAGCCTCTCGGGTGGACAAACCTGAACGGGAAAGTCATACGCGCTAATCTCTTCGATCCCACGATGAGAGCACATCGAGTGATGGCGAATTGTTGTAATGCTGATGGGGCTCAATCGTGTCCTCACCTCTTTCTGATGTACTGTGATTGGATACTTGCTGATGGCGTTGAATCTCGCCGTTGAGGATGTGTTCCAAACAGAACGCAAGCGTAGCTCTGTAAGAGTCGATGTCCTGAATTTCACCCGCTCCATCTGACCTCTCGACATTTCTTCTGCCTTGAATCACCCTGGTATGGATATTATACGCGGAATTTCTCGAGAACTCTTCGATTCCTAGAGGAGTTCTTTTCCTTCGGAGGTTCTCGATAGATTCCCGTACCATAAAGCCACGGAGTTTTACAGTCGAAGAAGGGATGTTGCTTCTGCGCGTTGAGATGGATGTCGAACGTGTAGCAGCCGTAGGTAGGGGCGCGAAAATGTGTTCGCTTGATCCTGCGTAGAAAAGGTCAGTGATGAGCGCTACGGACCGGTGACCACGGCTTCCGCTAGTCTACAGGGAACTTCAATCGGGACTCAATCCGAAAAGTCTTGATTGAGCGATGCATGGTCGGGGGGAGATGAAGAGAGGGAAGAAGCTCCATTCATTCCTCAAGGGTTCTAAAGACACCTAACGGCTGTCGAGAGTATTGGTCGTGATAGGGAGCAGTCCGGATTGCTTTCTGGGATCATCATATGCGTATATTCACATTTTGTTGCACTCCACCGAAGGACATCCCGGCGCGTCGGACACCAATTCACAGCTGAAGAGGTCCTCGGCTTCCATTGCCGCATCCGTCCGAAGCTCGTACTCGAAGCGAAGGCGTTGTTGAGATTCCACCTCCAGCTAAAAATGACAGAAGCCTCCAGAATCAAATTACGGAAAGGCTTAGCGATCCCTGCGCTGGGCCGGGAATCCGCGACTTCCGACGCGCCTCAACACTACCCATGTGAAATCTCCGCGGCAGACTGCACCAGGAGTCGCGAGAATTCGTTATATTCATCAATGCTCTTTGAGGAACAGCCACATGATACGGCAATGTTCTGCCGATATACATATTTCATCTCAAGAGCCAAGCTCGGTGTACTCAATCCGTGCCATGCTCTCCGAAATCATGCCACACCGACTTCGATCGCAGAACCACATTCTACAGATCAAATACTTGCTGGAATCGAGGTGCTTGTCTGAAGAAATCATGCAAGTCTCCCCTTCACTCGCACGTTTTCCTCAATCAGAGAGAAGTTCGCTCTCTCCTCCGAATTTTCATCAGTCGGTGAACCGCCGCGAGAGCCGCAGTGAGGTCATGTCGCGAATTTCCCACAACATTTTGCCGCAAATTATGGATGAGCTAGATTGCGAGCCCCGACTCGATCGAGGAAGCCCATTCTCGCAGGCCCAATCATACGAATGTGCGACCCAGCTCCTCGCAGTGTCAGCTTATCACAATAAATCGAATGACAATCTCGCTGGAAAGTCAATTACGACCATGACCGTCCCAGATGCTTTTCTGTCGCCTATTCCGTCTACGCTTGGGATCCACAACTGTGACCATCCGTGCTTGAGGTACTCATTCTTGCTTTGGTGTAATATGAATATCAGCTTGAGCGGACGATGTCTATGACAAGGGAGGATATCGGAACAGTTCCGAATCGGATACTTGCGTCACAATCCGGATCACGATCGGCGCACAAGATGGTACGATCAACCCTAGAAGAAGATTCCCGGTAGAAGCATCCTCAAGCGAAGGAGATAATGGTCCGAGAACCAACACCAGCATATTTTCGAATCGAGTCTCGACAAACCATTTTTCCGTACAGATTGTGACCGCAGGGAATTCGATGTTCTTTCTCATTTCCTCAGACACAGTGACGGTGAACTCATACTTCTCGTAAAGTTCTAGAACCAAACCGGCTTGGTAGAGGAAACCAATAATACAAATTAGCCAGATGAGACCTTCTATCGAGTGCTTCACTCGAGAACGCGTCACCAGAGCCATCCTTGGGGGGATATGATAGACTCAATCCTCTTCCGAGGACGCACAGTGTCGCCGGGCGAAGCTCAACTTGAGAGCTCCTCCAAACGAATGCCCGAATGCCCTGGACGCGAGATCATTATCTGAATATTGAATCAGGGAGTCGTGTACATGGCAGGATCTGACCGTGTCGATGCTGACTCGTATCGACCTCCTTTTTTGCCTCGGACGCAGCAGTTTCAGGGCCCGATGCTGGACCTAGTCCATCGGAATCACTTGCGACATACAGTTTTCTCCCTGACATGAAACGACAAAAGCGCGATTCCGCGTCGGAGTCGAAAACACATCGAGTGAGGGTGAGCGGAACGTCCGTCCCCTTATCTACGTATTATCTATGAAAAGCATCTGTGAAACCCTTCGCATTGCCGCTCGCCGTTGATGGGCTGTGAATGAATCTAGGCAGTGAAGGGAAAGTGAATATGATCCGGACAATCTGCGAGAGATATTTCCGGGGGAGCGCGCGGTAGAATGGGATGAACCGCAGAGCGTATGGTGCGAGAGTAGGCGCGACCGCAACCGGCAAACGAGACAAGTCACGGCACAAATGAGAACATCAATCAGAGGTCGCGAGCCGCATCGAGGGAGGCGTCGCAGCGTATGGGAGATCAGAATTCGAGTTTGAAATCTGGAGCGCAAGAGAGGAAGATCCGTAGGGATTCGATCTGCTCACCGTGACGCTCCCGCACTTTTCAGATCTCGAATGAATAATTGGAATAGGAGGAGTTTTCGTGATTTTAGTGATATTCGTCCTTTCCCAACAACGCATTCGTCCCCTCGATACCGCGCCGAGAGATTGCAGTGGATGAAGAGGCAGCAGGCTGAAGCAACTTCATTCTCCGCGAAAATGACCGTGATCGCATCAGCCGTTGAATCTCATTTGAACCCAGATGACAGAGGAAGAGTACTCGAAGCTTCCTCCGATTCTCTCCGGGATGAGGCGGTGCAAGAGAGAGGCGAGAAGATTCGCGTCATACGATGGCGCATGAAGCATCGGAAAAATCCACTGGCCACGGCTGTGGTCAGTGATGATGACAGATACGAGGGTTGGTCTCCACTTGGGGGCCCGACGTGGAGTACGGATCTCCCGAAATAAGCCCAGCTGAACGGGAAGGATGCTTTCAACATACTCAAGTTCAAAAAGGGAAATGCGTCGCGTACAGCGAGATCGGCGCTTACGCATATCGCAAAGTCCGGGTGTCCCTTGCGAGGAATGACTCTGATCGCGGAGACCGCCGAGTCTTCGCTAGGTTCGTATTCTCGCCGCTAGAGCAGTTTAAGAGAGTCACTGGAGTCCCCATAGGGCACGATCACACCAGAGCCACACTTCTGTCACATTATGATCGTAAATGACACGTAGACTTTTATTTATTCTTGATCTTCCTAACGTAGTCAATAAGGTATGATCACCCTACTCCAGGCAACCCGTCACCCGAAGGCATTGAGCCGTGGACTGCAGCGGCGTTCCCCCTCTGAACCTCTATCGACAAACGCTGACGGAGGAACTCCGTGGCCCTCTTATCGCCCGACTCGGACCGATACGAGCACCCAGATCTCAGAGGAAGGCCTCTGTGCCCTCACCGAAAAGTCCGAGAGTCTCAATTTAGACTTGGTCTTGGTAATCACTGATCTCAAGACGAAGTAAAGTTTATTCTCGCTTCTGGCTCCATTATACAGGACTCGACTGTAGCGACTCAACGGGAGCAACTACAGAATGAATGGTTTATTGACTTCGTCGTTTCAAGTATGTAGGATCGGACACAACCCCCCCCCGCCGATAGTACTGGTCCCAAGCGTTCAACCATGCCATTTGCTTGCGGGTGGAACGCTGTCGTTCGATGGAATTCCACACCGAGCGCCTCCGCGAGGTAGGTTCAAACGTCGGAAATGAATTTCCCCCCGGTCGGACGTGATATGCGATCTTACATCCCCCTATCCCCCTTCTAATAAAGCGCGTCTGTCCGTGATCGCAAAAGTCTTCAGGAACTCTTGAAATTCTCCTCAGAGCATCGGTAGTCGACGCGGAGTCAGGGCAGCGTGCTCAGGTCGCGCATCTCATCTCGCATCCGCCGAAATCACCCACCCGCGGGGATCTACCTCGCCTCTAGCGCTGCCTTCCAGTCGTATCACTTCGCCCGTCGCGGCGGCTCGCACGGCATCCTCGAAAAAGATTAGGAGCGCGGCCGTAGGCCGGGCTCCCCAGGCTGGTTGACAATGAAGACCGGGAAGGCACCTGGCTTACGCAGATATCCCCCTCCCCGCGCGAACGCTCATCGTGATCCTTACTTTCTCGACATCGCTTGAATTTCTCGACCGACAAGATTTCCAGCGAAATGTTGGCGATTACTTCGGCCGAAGAATCATGCGGAACCTTCCTCGATCATTCCCCGAATGAAATAGTGGTGGCCATTATTATGCTTAGCGCGTTAGTGCTGCTTGGTTATCGCATGAGAGCGTCTCAGGTCGGCTCACGCTGACGGAGGGAAGTTCTGTGAAGTTGAGCAAGCAATTGATTCCCTGACACAGGGCGGAGCACGCCTTGCGCTCCGCTTTACTCGTAAACCACGCCATTTGCGGCTGTTCATTGCTCGTACAGGACACGCAGGCTTCGGCCAGCAGGAGCAGGCAACCCGTCGTAGAATTTCTACTCTCTTGGCACCCGTCTCAATCGGCATCGCAAAAGGCTTCGATTGGCTTTGTCTTTTTCACATCAAATAGCAGTCGGGAGTCGTAGGTAACTTTGAGGCACCTCATGATTCTCTTGACGGCCGTCTGGTCCGCCTTTGATATCTTGCATTGGTGGAGTCCTCGCCCTCCGCTTTGCTTTCCAGCTCTGAAGTGGCTCCTGCTGGGGTTGCGAGCGGCTCGGGATCAGCCATTCCGCATCGCTTTAGAAGCCGCCTCATGTTCTCTGCCCGGTCAAGCATGATTTCTCGTTCCTCAGGTCTCTGCTTTATCCGCACGCCTGAGCAGTACTGCTCGGGTCCCCAATCGGGAAGAATTTCCCTAGCTCTCCGGGGACATCTCTCTGCGGGTCCGCTTCCTTTGTGAATACCAAGAAGTCTTCAACGTACATTGTCAGCAATAACTTATCATCTTGAACCTCATCATCTTGCGTTATGCGGTAAAAGCATCGGTCCTCTTCAAACACCGTCGACTCGCAGGCTATGAAGGATTTTTCGAAGTTTCGAGCCGAACCCTCCCTGCTTCTTTCAGCCCTCACAATGATGTCTTGAGTCGGCACACCTTGTCTTCGATCTCGAAGGTAGCAGATTGCTCCGTGGAATCTCCACCAGCGACTCACCGGGCGGATGAGCGATTGCTACGTCCAGCTGGCGAATGCTCCGGCTCTCCTGCGCAGCTCGCCCAAACAGCATATGAAGCGTCGGGATCTTCACCACCGGTGAAAAAGTCTAGTCGAAATTCACCCTCTTGTCTGACTGAATTCCGGTACGACGAGTCTAGCTTTGTACTTCGAGATCCGGCCGCCACTATCTGCTTTCTACTGAAACACCGAAGGTAAGATGTATCGACCGAGCATTTCCAGGGATTTCACGAAAAATAGCGGAATCTCCGTGGCATTGGTTCCCCCAAAGCCTCTCGAACGAGGAGATGACTTCGACCGAAGCGGAATTTTCGCAGCCATGAATGCGGAGCGAAGGGTCATATTGAATTGATTCCCCGGACCTTCGCCGATTATTCCAGTCAAGAGCTGCTGCTGCGTTCCGACGCCGGGAACCACCTCCGCCGGACGACAGCTCACTCAGGGCGTCTCGGTGCAGCTCCGTTTTGATATGCTGGTGACTCGCGAATTCCCGCGCATCTGGGAATGATTTCCAGCATAGCTTACGGTTTAAGGAACATCGTGTCGTTGTCGGATGTGAACGCAGGTGCTCTAACGGTGCGGTTGAGATTGGTGAACGGTGATCCCAAATTCGGCACCTCGAGGGATAATGATGTTGGCCAGACCACACTTCAAAGCACATTCGATCAATAATGTTTTATTCGCAGTAGCCTCCGCAGTTGTTAGATATGAATCTTGCGATTCTGCCGATCGATTGACTCGCGAAGTATTTACATTTCATCAGATGGTGTCGAGCGAATCCATTTTCTCCGCAATATTTACATATGCACGATTCACTCGTATTTACAAAAAAAGTCCTCTCTTACAAATCTTGTGGTGGAAGCCGTGGTATGTTGCACGACATATATCCTGTCTGTCGTTTCTGGATGAATTCTACCATCTTTCTGTTTTGAAGGCCGCACAGTGTGGCCGAACCCGATTCTAGGCGGCAGAAATTGAAAATGAAAAAAAGTCGTGGCGTCTTGGAGGAAGTATGGGGACCTCGAAAACACACACCAATCAGAAACCAAGCACTTGAATCTCTGTGGAGAGACTCTGGAAAGAGGAAGTTTTTTTTTGCTCCGGACTGTCACTTTTTTCTTCCGATTCGTGCTGACGCTCGAGTTTCCGTGGAATCGATTCAGAATGGAGCAAACACCGAACCGTGAGTAAGATTGAGTCTGAAACTCCACGTTTAGCGTTTCATTCGACGAGAATATGCAAATGAGAAGTTTTTCTGAGTGCATACTTCTTGCGGAAAAATCCTGATTTCCATGAAATTTCAGCGCCGAAAAAGTATATGGACTAGGGCGGACCCGGGCGGCTCATGGGTCGGAAAATCTTCTTTCACCCTCCCTCCTCCCATTTCCGAAAAAAAAACAGCAAGTTTTGGCGAACGTTAATGCGTGCTGTTTTCAGACATTCGAATTCGGGTCCCCCGGAGGACATCTGCGGGGACAATCTTTAACTCCCGGAAGAACGAGTGCGTCGATGGGTTGGAGAAACTCATTTTGAGTCATGCTCATGTTGAAATTGAGCAACTAAGCAACAGATCTCACATCAAGCGCAGGTCAGCAGGCATGTGTCCCGAGAGGGAAAAAATCGAGAGACATAATTCGAGAGC